ACAATTCACTTTCCATTCCTCATGGTTTTGCTTTAACATTGCTTTTCCTGAATAGGTGCCTTCCCCACATACTTCTTTTATAGTGTTTGTCTCACTGCAGGCTGTGTGTCCACCTACTCCACAGACTGTAAGCACCTAGAGGGGAGGGATGTGTTCTTTTATTTATATTCTTAGTACCTGGCCACATAAATATATGTTAAAGAAATTCATGAGTGTGAATGAATGAATTAATTAGTAATACATTCATTTAGAATATACCCTTTCTAAATTCACCTGTGAAATATCCCAGACTTCAGGTAGACATTACTGTCCTAGCTTTTGAACTCACTGCCAACCTTCGTTAAGCTCTCTCTAGCTCAGACATCAGCTCCCCCTTCCACTTCCCCATCCTTTAATCCGCATGGGGCTGGTAGATGTGAATGTGAGAGGTGTGATTGGCAGTGGAAAGGGCATGGGATTTGGAGTCAGGCAGACCCAGGTTCTAGTTTGAGTTGTCCCACTTTCTAGCTATGAGACCAGGCAAGTTGTTCTGAGCTTCATTTTCTTAATCTGTAAAGGAGGTATATAATACCTATCCTTGGATAACACATACAAAACACATCGCACAATGCCAGAAATGCAGTAGGTGCTAAAGAAATGTTTGTTTCCCTTCCTCTAGTTGTGTGTGTGTGTTTGTGGCTTATATATGTGTATACTGTATGCATTTGTGCCTATGTGTACTATTTTGGTGTATTGGTGGCATACAGTATGGAGGGAAGAATGAAAATGTTATTTGCATCATCTGCCTGTGTGGAAGAGAGTTACCTAGGTCTCATCTACCTGGAGGACACAAATGAGGTCACATTAATGGCAGTACTTAAAATGCCACCACTTCCTGCCCACCCCTGTAATTCAGGGCATCAGCCCCCTAAATCTCACTCTTAGGTATTTCTGGGAATCTTCAGAGAGTTTGAGTTTAAGAAGAAACTTCTCCAGTCCTTATTCGTGTGTTCATTTTATGAAGCCACTTGAGAAGAGAACCTCACTGCAGCCAGGGATGGTGCCCTCAATCCACCCTACTTTACCCTACTAGTTGGCAAAGCTATGGTCTTTAACAAGGGCATTGTCTCCTGGTGCTCCCATAGTTACCAGTCTTACTAGGTGACACAGCATAACAAGGAGTCTTCCTGAGTCAAAATTGTGCAGTGATCTCCAGCAGAATGCACCCTCCAGCTTGGTCATACCTCTTTCACTCTGGCATTTTCGATAAGCACTACCTATACAATCCCCCACCCTGCCCTAACCTGGTCTCAATGATGTATGTAACCTTTCTCCATACAGAAGAGATATGGTATGTATAATAGTGTTTGGGAAAGGAGAAGGTGGGGAAGGAATTATACTTTCTGTGCATCCCTGTGGGGACCTCTTTTGGGCACTAGAACAGTTCCTAAGCTGGTTAGGCCTCCTAATTGATTCCCTGTCCTCCATGGCTTCCTGGGAATGGTGGAGTTTGTCCCTCGACCTTGCTCATTACCCAAGATCTTTGAACTCACAGGGAGGCATCTGTAACATCGCTGACAAGCAAGAGGTACATCTTGAGGTTCCCAGCGCTGGAGACACTGATGCTGGATGACAACAGACTCTCCAACCCCAGTTGCTTTGCCAGCCTGGCTGGGCTCAGGAGGTAAAGCCATAAGCCTTTCTCTGCTTGGGCTCCTCTAATCCCCAGGCTTGCTCACACTCGGTGCTGTTCTAGAAGCCAAAAGGCTTGGGCTTAAACCCTAGCTCCACAATTTATCTCTACTCTGTGGCCATGGGTAAGTCATTTCTCCCCTCTGAGCTTTGGCTCCTCCATAAAAATGGCCATCAGTGAGGACATTTCTGATCACATGACTGAATTAGAAGCAGCAAAGAGAAAGGAAAACAGGAGGAGATTTTACCCAGGATAGGATCCAGACCCTGACAGTAGAGACAGGAAAATTTTTTAAAATAATGAGAATAAGAAAGACAAATTTAATTCCTGAGTTCTAACTGAAGTAAATAAAATAGTGGCATTTACATTGTTAAGCTTTACTTCCCTGTAAAATTTACTTTGGATTCAACTACCATTTACTGAATACTAATTTGTGCCAGGCCATTTACATATTGCCTCATTTAATCTTCACAAGAGCCCTGAAAGGTTAATAACTACTATCCCCATTTTAGAGACAGGGATATTGAATCCCAGAGACAGGAAGTCACTGGCTCAACGCCACACAAGAGGAATAAGTATCCGAGCCTGATTCCATGTTTTTTCCCTAAAGTGGCTTGGTAAACAATCCTGAGGTATCATTATTGATATGATTCTATATTCACTTTCCTTAATTGAAGACTGAAGAAGTTAAGCCTGGATGAAAACAGGATTATCCGGATCCCATACCTACAGCAAGTTCAGCTCTCTGACGAGTCAGTGGACTGGAATGGAGGCGGGGGAAGTCCCCACAAAGAGCCCCAATTCACGCTGCAGTCCAAGCCAAGGATGCTTGAGGACTCAGATGAGCAACTGGATTATACTGTACTGCCCATGAAAAAGGATGTTGACCGGACAGGTGAGTGACACCCCTTGTTCCAGAAATTCTAGCCTCATACTGGAAATACACTTCTGAGAGTTTATTCTGAAAGCCTCACTTGGTCACGATGAATATCACGAATTGAATTTGCGGATTCTTTGTCAAGGATTTTTGCATCTATGTTTGGGAGATGTGTTGGTGTATTGATTTCTTTTGTTACAGTATTCTTGTTAGGATTTATAATCAAGGTTATGCTTGCCTGATAAAATGTGTTTGGAAGTGTTCATTTTTTTCCATTTCCTAGGAAAGTTTATATACTATTATTATTTTCTTCTTAAAGTTTGGAAGAATTCACCATGAGACCACCTGAGCCTGGAGTTTTCTTTGTAGAATGAGGTTGAAATTATGCAACTTTAGAAGGTTGGAAGAGGTGCTCCTGACACCTGAAATTGAGACCTCTGGGTAAGAGGTGCTGCTTGGCTCTTGGTGTCTCTGAGCTGTGATGGGCTTTGTGTAGCTGAGAAGAGGATACTGGCCAGCTGGTGCTGGTACCTATAGAGGAGTCACAATGAAGCAAGTTTATAAAAGTTGGAAAAACTGCAAACTAGATTCAGCTACTGCTGAGGAAAGACTTGCTAGACTACAGCAAAAACAAAACAAACCAAAAATCACATTATTCCAGTGGCATTCACAGGAATCACAAGCAGTCAGGAAACCCATGGGAAGCAGATAGGAAGAGATAAGCCCCTTTTTCCTCTTCCAGCTTTGCAGTCTCCCTTTAGCACCACCCATATTGTCAGAGTCTAACAGGAAACCAGTGGTCAAAGCAGAAATGTGGTTTTGAGAGCCTCAGCTCCAGCATTCCAAAGCAGAATAAAGAAAGATGAATTTCCAAGTTAAAAATATTAATAACTGGCCAGGCACAGTGGCAGTTATTTTGGGAGGCCAAGGCTGGAGAATTGTTTTGAGGCCAGGAGTTTGAGGCTGCAGTGAGCTATGATCACGCCACTGCCCTCTGGCCTTGATGACAGAGCAACACCCTCTCTCTATAAAAAATTAAAAACTAGCTGGGTGTGATGGCATGTGCCTGTAGTCCTAGCTACTGGGGGCTGAGACAGGAGGATCCCTTGAGGCTGCAGTGAGCTATGATCACGCCACTGCTCTCTGACCTGGATGACAGAGCGAGACCCTATCTCTATAAAAAATTTAAAAATTAGCTGGGTGTGATGGCATGTGCCTGTAGTCCTAGCTACTGGGGGCTGAGGCAGCAGGATCCCTTGAGCCTGCAGTGAGCTATGATCACACCACTGCTCTCCAGCCTGGGCAGCAGAGTGAGAGACCCTGTCTCTAAAAATAATAATAACAACAACTACTTAATAAAAGGCACAATTATGTTATTCAGATTCTCCCTAAAATAATTTTCTGTCTACTTAGTTTGTTAACTTTGGAAATGGGTATATTAAAGTCTATCCCCACTATTGTAGATTTGTCAGTATCTCCTTGCATTTCTGGCATTTTTTTTACTATGAACTTGGTTTGGTTCTCTGTTATTAGGTTTATGACTTTTATCTTGGTAGATTATGTATTTTAATCATTGTAAAATATCCCAGGTAGATAAATAATTCTGGTTTTGACTTGGGCCTCTGTTTTGTTTGATATATTTATTTTAGGATATCTTAAAAACAGTATAGTACTGCATATTTTTCCTAATATGAGTCTTAATGAGTCTTTTTTCATAGAAGAATTTAACTCACATGGTGATTATTGATATATTTCACCTTATTTCTACTATTAGTGTGTTTTCTATTTACCTATGCCTTTTCTTCTTGTGAGCACTGTTTTCTTTCAATTCCAATCTTTTCACTAATCATTTAAAGAAAGAAATCTCATGTCTAGATCTCTAATGGTTACCTTAAAACTTTTTTTTTTTTTTTTTCTGTTTAGAGACAGAGTTTTACCCTATCACCCCAGGCTGAAGTGCAGTGACACGACCGTGCTCAAACTGTTGTTGAACTCTGGGGCTCAAGTGATCCTCCTGCCTCAGCCTCCCAAGTAGCTGGGACCACTGCACCTGGCTATTACCCTAAAACTTTTAATTCACATTTTAAAACTCACTTTTGTCTATCAACACCTGTAATCAACCAAATACATGTCTTCTTTTTTAATAAGAAAATGTTAATATGCATGTATCTATAAAGCCACCCTACTCCCATCACTTCCCATAATGCAATAAACTCTAACAATAATTCAGATTGGTTTTAATTTTTAAAATTATGTATCAATGATTCTTTAGACTGAAAGATTGAACCTCATTCTTGGGTTCTTTATCATGTGTACATATGTATAACTTAGGAGCAGAGACTTCTGTTTACAATGCAACTCAGGTCCTAATACAGTATAATTTTTAATCTCTTCAAAGTTCTTCTTGCCCTCTTATTTGTTTTCTTTCATCCTTAATTCCTATTCCCATTTCCTATTTTCATATAAATATCTACTCTTATCTTGGATATATTTTCCTGGATATATGTATTTATCTTTGTAAAATATATTTAAGAGTTTTCCTTCTTGCTGTATTTTTTTTTTTTTTTTGAGATGGAGTCTCGCTCTGTTGCCCAGGCTGGAGTGCAGCGGCGATCTCCACTCACTGCAAGCTCTGCCTCCAGGGTTTACGCCATTCTCCTGCCTCAGCTTCCTGAGTAGCTGGGACTACAGGCGCCCGCCACCACGCCCGGCTAATTTTTTGTATTTTCAGTAGAGACGGGGTTTCACTGTGTTAGCCAGGATGGTCCCGATCTCCTGACCTCATGATCTGCCCGCCTCAGCCTCCCAAAGTGTTGGGATTACAGGCGTGAGCCACCGCGCCCGGCCTAGTTATTGACTTTTAACTAATGCTTAGTATCCTACAGTATATGCTCTAAACACATTTCGCACATCTCTTCCATTACTGATGAATACTTAGGTTGCTTATAACTCTCTTACTACAAATAGTGGTACAATGAACAACCTTATGAACATCTTTTGCATATACCACTGTGCCAGGGTTTTCCTGAAATATTTACCCAGAAGTGGAATTGATGGATGACAGAGCATATATATATGTAGTTTTAAAAATTACCACCTGATTGTTCTTCAAAATAGTTGCTTCAGTGTACCCTCACACAAGTAATACATAAGGGTTCTTGTCTTCCTATGTCCTTATCAATATTTGGTATTATCTTACTTTATAATTTTTCTAAATTTCATTATGCTGGTAGGTGTAAAGTGATATCTTTAAAAACTTTTTAGTTTATAATTTTTGTGGGTACATAGTAGGTATATATATCTATGGGGCACATGAGATATTTTGGTACAGGCATATAATAAACTCTTTTAGGTATTTTTAAATGTACAGTTAAAGTATTACTGACTATAGCCCCCCTTTTGTGCTACCAAATACTAGGTCTTATTCATTCTTTCTATTTTTTTTTTTTTTTTGTATCAATTAGCCATCCCCACCTCTCCCCCAGGCCCCCACTATCCTTCCTAGCCTCTGGTAACCATCTTTCTACTCTCTGTGTCCATGAGTCCAATTGTTTTGATTTTCAGATCCCACAAATAAGTAAGAATATGCAAGTTTTGTCCTTCTGTGCCTGGCTTATTTCACTTAACCTAAGGGCCTCCAGTTCCATCCATGTTCTTGCAAATGATAGAATCTCGTTCTTTTTAATGGCTGAATAGTACTCCATTGTATATATGTACCATATTTTCTTTATCCATTCATCTGTTGATGGATATGTAGGTTGCTTCCAAATCTTGGCTATTGTGAACACTGCTGCAACAAACATAAGAGTGCAGATATCTCTCTGATACACCGATTTCCTTTCTTTTGGGTATATACTCAGCATTGGGATTGCTGGATCATATGGTAGCTCTAGTTTTAGTTTTTTGAGGAACCTCCAAACTGTTCTTCATAATGGTTGTGCTGATTTACATTCCCAGCAACAGTGTACGAGGGTTCCCTTTTCTCCACATCCTCACCAGCTTTTGTTATTGCCTGACTTTTAGATAACAGCCGTTTTAACTAGGATAAGATGATATCTCATTGTAGTTTTGATTTGCATTTCTCTGATGGTCAGTGTTGTTAAGTACCTTTTGATATGCCTGTTTTCTATTTGAATGACTTCTTTTGAAAAATGTTTATTCAGATCTTTTGCCCATTTTTTAGTCAGATTATTAGATTTTTCCCTGTGGAGATGTTTGAACTCCTTATATATTCTGATTATTAATCCCTTGTCAGATGGGTAGTTTGCAAATGTTTTCTGTCATTCTGTGGGTTGTCTCTTTGTTGATTGTTTCCTTTGTTGTACAGAAGCTTTTTAACTTGATGTGATCCCATTTGTCTATTTTTGCTTTGGTTGCCTGTGCTTGTGGGATATTACTACTCAAGAAAATTTTGCCCAGACCAGTGTCCTGGAAAGTTTCCTCAGTGTTTTCTTGTAGGTGTTTCACAGTTTGAGGTCTTATATTTAATTCAAATAAAAGGCAAGAGATGGAGTCAAGTTTAATTCTTCTGCATATGGATATCTTGTTATCCTAGAACCATTTATTGAAGAGACTGTCTTTTTCCCAGTGTATGTTCTTGGCATCTTTGTCGAAAACGGGTTAACTGTAGGTGTGTGGGTTTATTTCTAGGTTCTCTATTCTGTTCCATTGGTCTATGCGTCCATTTTTATGCCAGTAGCATAGTGTTTTGGTTGCTATAGCTTTCTAGTTTAATTTGAAGTCAGGTAATGTGATTCCTCTAGTTTTGTTCTTTTCGCTCAGGATAGATTTGGCTATTCTGGGTCTTTTGTGGTTCCATATAAATTTTAAGATAGTTTTTTTCTATTTCTGTGAAGAATGTCATTGGTATTTTGATAGGGATTGTATTGAATCTCTAGAATACTTTCAGTACTATGGACATTTTAACAATATTGATTCCTCCAATCCATGAACATGGAATATCTTTCAATTTTTATGTGCCTCTTCAATTTCTTTCATTGGTGTTTTATAGTTTTTAT